AATAGTAATTGTCCTATTTTTGATTTTCTTGAATTTAAAAAGGAAATTTATAGATGCTACTAAACAAAGAGAAGTTTCTAGTCAAAACAAGACAGGCAGGTCTTAAAGTCTTTATAAGGTGATAGTACAAAGGGACATTTCTTCACTGGAAAGGACAACACGAGAGACTACTTTCCTAGGTTTAGACATTAACAGGTAAGTGATTTCATTTTTTTTAAATGTCAAAAAAGAATATTCAAAATTCATGGATTCAATATTATGTTATAAAAAATACAATATGAGTGTACAAAATTATCATCTACCTTAAATAAGGAACTTTAAGGAATGTGCCTTTTTTTCTTTCTTTTAAGTTAGAACAAATGAGCAGATATTTAAACTATAAACTCTAACACACAAATATTGAAGATAATCCAATTCATATAAGTGGAAGTGCTGAAAAGTCCCCCGCCACTTCTAAAACTTTAAGCAAACATCAGAATTCTTATGAAATCCTTCGTTGGTCAGGCAGAGAATTGCTCAACACCTCTTCATTCAAATATGAAGGAATATAAAAATTTACCAAATTACAAAAATCTTCAGAGATTTTTAATATGAAACTGTACTTATGACTGTTTTACCCCCAATTCACTGTTATTAATTTGTTAATAAAAGTACATTAAGGATACCACCAAAATTTAAATCACCTCATTAACATTGCAAAATAATTTTATGTTAATACATTAATGGAAAATCTTCAATATACAATTACATAGTATTTAAAAATAACCACTATCATATTGAGAAATATTTAATAACTTTTAAATATTAAAACATTCATTACAAAAATAGTGTACAATATCAAAATGTTACTGGGAGTTTTAAAATCGATTTTTGAAATGACGATTTGAAGCAGTTATTAAAAAGTAAAAATAAAAGGATGAGATAATTTCAGTCATTGACGATCACAATGAAAAATCATAAACACGAAATCATTTCAAAGTACACCATGTGTAAATTGAAACTGCTTCTTTATAGTTACTTTGGTTTAAATATACTATGCATTTCCAGTAATTTTTTTTCTTTTTAAAATAATTTCTATTTTATGAAATATTGTAATATGTATCAATGAGTAACTGTAGATAAAGGAAAAATTAAAAATGATTGCACATACAAATTTCTGGGTATTCCTAACCAAGCTATTTATAAATTCATTGTACAAGTGCCTGTGATTTAAGCTATCTTAAAAATAACTATCAATACAAACCTCAGCCAGTTACAATTGAACAACTGCTCACAAAGGAAAACAGGAATTTCAAATGACAATGGTTAAGATAATGAGCTGAATTCATCAGGCAATCATAAAAGTTGTAATGTCACCAAGCGCCTTCTCAGGTTAACGTTCTCAGGTGACATGAAGTGGAAAGATGATATTGAATTCATTGCTTGGTCAGCTGCTAAGTTGGTTCCCTGTGTCATGCAAGACAATTTTTTTTTCTCCAGAATCTATTTTACATATCTATAGGCCTACCATCCATCCATGCTTAGAATATTGCTGCCATACATGATCCAATGACTCTGCTATTCACCTTAAGCTCCTTGATAAGATCCAAAGAAGAATCAGCAATATTATTGGCCCTGATCTAGCAGCTCCACTTCAGTCACTTTCTCATCACCATTAGGTTGTCTCTGTTTCTTTTCTATAAATACTTTCATGGTAATTGTTCGAATGAGCTCTTCACTAGGGTACCTAGACTTTTCAAATTTAAACACCATACAAGACTGGAGCCTAGATCTCAATTTACAGTTGAGCTAGCTAGATGTAACCATAAATTCTATGCTAACAGTTTCCTTTCTCACACTTCTCGCTTGTGGAACTCCCTTCCGGCTCCATGCTTTCCAGCCAACTTTAATCTGCAAAAATTTAAATACAATGTCAATTGCTATCTACTATCGTCCTGATTACTCTTTTCTTTTCAAACTTATTATTAATGTTTCTGTTCCCAAGTCTTTCTACCCAAATGCAGAATACCATCATACCTTTCCTATAGTATCTCTTCATTTTTATTGAAATTAAATAAAATAATAATGCATATAAATGTGCAATGATTCTAACCATAGATATCTATATAATAGATGTATTTGTATATTTTGTAACATTGCTATCACACAAAAAAAAACAACAGTTTGTTCTGATTACAAAGTCCAACATGGAGGTAAGAAGGCAAGTGACATATCTACTATGCCAACATCCTTCTGCTTGAGAATGGTGATAATATTAACTTGCAGATACTAAGTTAAGCAGAGTACAGAGATACTATATTGATCCAGGCAAAAGTGCTAATCCATACATAATTCCATCATTTATGAAATTAATATTATGTATATCTACAAAACTTACATGTGAAAAAAAAAAAAACAAAAAAAACACCTAATAGTAATCATCATATTGAAAGAAGAAATTAAACCTTTGCTTAATTAACATACAGGACTGAACTTCTTTAGTTTATCTACCAGATTTTATTTCAGATTTCACCAGTATAATCAAAACTAACAACTTCAATTCATTACAAAAGAGCTGAAAAGTTTTGTATGAAAATTTAGATGAAACAACCAGATCAAAAGGAATTTGCAGACAAAGGCAACAATACCCAATTCAGGTTACTGAAAAATAAAAATTTCAAAAGGATCTTTTTACACTTAATGTAAACTTAATAAAAGCTGGCTGAACTACAATCTTTGTAAAAAGTACTGAACATTCTTCCTTTGGCACTAAAGATAGAAACAATAACTCACAACACAAGGTTAAAAAAATAAATAAATAAAAAATAGCAGTTTCTCTCTCTCTCTCTCTATATATATATATATATATATATATATATATATATATATATATATATATATAAAAACAAAAGTATTTCATTAAATTCAAGTTGGAATAAATTCTTTCAATGTGTAACCAATTCATATCAAGGGCATTGAATTTTTTTTTCTTTTTAACAATATTTACAGTGGACAGTTAAAATTAGGTACCCCACTAATTCATGATACATAAGGGTTAAAATGAATTTTAAAAAGCTTTCTTGAAGTTTTCATTTTAACTTTAATTGACATTTTCTATTTCCAGTTAGCAAAAATACTCTGTAGTGTATTTCAAATGGAAATTCTAACGATTGGAGCAGATTTTTTTTTGGGGGGGGGGTCTAAAAATAGCTAATTAGTGCCCTCTTTTTAGCCACCTGAGATCACAATGAATTTCCCTTTATTAAAAAATCTTCCAAAAATAAAATATACTTTTCTATAATTTTATTTGAGAAATATTAGTGGATTTAAAGTATAATTAATCGGATTTGAAAAAAATATTATTTAAGTTGAAAATAACATAGAAATAGGCTTTTAAAACTCAATAGAAACGAAATAGTTAATTCAGGGCTTACAACCATTAATTTTGATAAATATTTGAAGAATTTAATTTACATTTAAGCATTTTTGAAATTTAAGATAAAACATTTAATACTGTTTGATAGCCAATTTTCAGGCCAAAATCTTTAGTTATATACCAAATTTCATATGTTCTTCATGTAGTGGTTTCTTTTACATCTTAAATTTCAACATATGATTGATATTATTTGATAAAAATATATAGATTTCAATTCTTACTTCCAAACAGTTCAGTTTTAAGGAACCTTGCAGGATTTCAAAATATTTTTTTAAAATGAACACTGCCAGTAAACAAATTATCAGAATATATAAGCATAGTCTTTAATAAAAGAAAAATAGGCAAACATGCCAACTATTATGGGACAGGTAGTAAATACAAAAATAAATTTTGCAAAAATGTGTATTTTTTTAAGTTAGTGTTAATAGACATTAGGAGCAACTAAAAGTTTTTGTTTTTTTTTTTAATTTAAGTTTTTTTATCCCATGACCCATAGGTTAGTAGGGGCCCTGTGTGTACTGTACAGTAGAAGTGGTGTTTCTTGCCCAACCCTCTCCAGGCCAGTTTTGAATTCAGAGTTTTTTTTCTCCTAGACTGGTTGCCACCCAAGGTTATAGAACCCAGTCTGTCCAGCTATTTACCCATAGGAGGGGGAGAGGATTCATACCTTTCTCAAAGGTATTAGCACATAAGTGAATACATTGAATCAATAGCTGCCTCCACCGCAAGGAAAGTTGGTTCCCTTTGTCATGCCAGAAAGTTTTTCTCACCAGAGTCTATCCTTCAAATCCACCATTTGCCCTTGCATGGAATACTGCTGCCATATATGGTCTGGTGCCTCTACTGTTCATCTTAAGGTCCTCAACAAAATCCAGAGATGGATATGCAATGTGAATGGCCCTGATCTGTCATCTCATCTAGTCATTCTCACAGAAATGCCATCACCTCCCTCTGTCTTTTCCATAAATACTTTCACAGTAACTGCTCCAATGAGCTACTTTCTCTAGTTCCCAGACTGCATGAATTTAAATGTGCTATTAGGCTGGCATCTCGGTCCCACCTTTTCACTGTCAAAACAGTTAAATGTAGCCATCTCTTCTACTACAATAGCTTCATGTCTCGCACCTCCCGCCTGTGAAATTCCCTTCCTATTACTTGTTTCTCTGATAGCTATAATCTCCAACTATTCAAATGTAATGTCAATCAACATCTCCAGATACCTTCTCTTCATCCTTTCTTCTATCACGCCTCTTTACTCTCACTCCATGTAACCCCTTGCGTGTTAGTGGCATCTTACCTTACTTGGGGTGAAATGCTTAAATAAAAAAAATAAATAAATAAATAAAAAAATAAAAATAAAAAAGTAATGGATCCAACTGGAATTTGAACTCAGCTTTATACTTTAGCATAAAACATGTCAAACTTTTAAGGTACATATTTACTGCTTCAAGATTCACCAAAGTCTAAGGAAAATCTATACTTAATAATGCTTATTAGTCATATTTAAAATGAATAATTCAAATAGTCATATATGCTGAAAATAACAATAATAAATTAGTAAAAAAAAAAACATTAGCATACAGACCTTGCCGTGAACGTGGTCTATCATAGGCTTCATCCCTGTAATACTGGTATTCCAAGTAGCGTTCATAGTCCAGGCGACTAGGAGGCCGATCATAGTAAGGATCATATCGAGGGTCCTTGGGATCCAAAGAACGATATCGAGAACGATAATCCCGATCATAATCTCGAATATAGCGATAATCCTTTTCCCGGCGAGAGTCCCGTAACTCCCTGTAGTCATCTAATGCTTCTCTAGAGTCATGGAAGTCTCGATCACGGAAATCAGGATCACGATGATCTCGTGGATCACGTTCTCTGTCGCGATCACGAGGGTCACGGTCTCTATCTCTGTCTCGATCTCGAGATGGTCGATCTCTAGGATCCTTACGGTCATAATCCCTTTCTGACATAGAAGTATCTTCAAGGCTATGAGTGGGGCTTTTTTGTTCTGGTTTGATAGGAGAGCTTTCATGTGAGTTAGATGTTATGGCAGTAGATGAATTTGGAGTGGAAGTCAATGGCTGAGAACTGCTTGAACGTTCAGACAACTGAGATTGGTTTTTAGGGTTCTCAATCTTTGGCTTGCTCTCTACAGCAGTGGACTTTGATGTCACAATGTTAACTGGTTGATTGGTAACAGATTCAGCCCCAACCAAAGACGGGATTGGTAAACTAGGGATCAAATGTATGCCACTAACTGAGATCTGGGGGTTATCCCACAGGGTTGTCATAGGAGACATGCATTCTTGTACACGAGCCTCTGCAACAGCGGTGGCTCTAATGGCTGCAGATGTCTGGTCATGCCGAGAAATGCCCTTGTTACCAGATGGCAAAGGTGGTTGAATCTTAGCATCTCCAGCCTGCTCTTTGATTTGCTTCATACCTGACCTGCTCCCTGCATTGGATCCAAGTGACCGTGTGCTATCATGGGAGCTCTGTCTAGACAAAGTTGGTGGTGGCCGTGTACCACTAGACTGGCTCCCACAAGATGACCTGCCACCATCAGAAGAAGCAGAACAGATTTGGCTGCTATTTCTTGATGTCTGTGATGCATGGCCACTCTCATGGGTGCTACTCCGTGAGGTACTCTGAGGGTGAACACCCTCCACAGAACCTTGCCGAGGAGGTGGTGGCTGAAAGGGGCTAGAATCTCTTGGCTGAATTTCACTGGCATAAACATTCAACTTGTGCTCATTAAGTAGAATGTTACCATCTAATTTTGGGGTCCCTAACCCACTAAGAGATGTTGGAAGCACTTGCACACTGTCATTACTTTGGGGTGTTTTTACTGTAAAGGAGTCTATAATGGCCGCATTAGCATTAGGTGTGGCCTCTACAGAAGGCAGCTTTGATGTGTTTTGCTTTTGTGTGTTACTATTAGCTCCTGGGGATAAATTAGTGACCACTTCAGCCTCATGCTGGCTACCAACCTCTGACGGAACATCAGTTGATTGGGGTAGCATCTGAGATGGAATTTGTGGTGCTACAGACAAAGGCTGACCAGATGAGGACGGCTTTGAAAGAGGCAAGGAAGGCTGGACATTGGGTTCCAAATTTGCTATATTAAAGCTATCAAAAATAGCCTGGTTAACAGGAAGGGGTTGACTAGAGCTGACCATGGTAGATGTTTTAAGGGCAACCATGTTCTGATTAGATCCCTCTAAGAATTGTGCGTTTCCCAAAGAACTTTGTCGGCTATGTTGGCCAGGATCAGAATTGGGAACAACTTCCCAATCACCCACAACTGAACCATGCTTAATGGTGTTATCTACAGAGGTACCAGAAGGAAATCGGGGACTCTCATTTTCTTGCTGAGGGTTATGTTGATGCAACTGTAAACCAGTTACCTCAGCCATTTTAGATGAATCAGATGTAAAGTTATTACCTAATGAAATGTCAGAAAGCTTTTGGCTAATATTAGAGATACCACTTGGTATACTTTTTGCTATGGTACTTTCTGATATACTAGCTTGTGAGAAACTCTGGGTGATTGTGTCCATAGGAATGGTCCCAGAACTTGTATTGTTTGTATTGTCAGTTGAATTCCCTTCAAGAAAAGGAGGATTTTGCCCCAAATATGGTTCTGTTGTTTGCAGGTTTGTGTGATATGGTTGGAAATGTTGTATACTTCTATCTCTTACATTTTGTTTATGAGACACATCTGACCATGCTGGCTGCTGAGACAAGTTAGATGTAGGAATGGAACCCGACACTGATACAGTTCCTGCAGCTGACATGGCCATGGTCCCTGCAGAAGACATGGCCATGGTCCCTGCAGAAGACATGGCCACGGGCCCTGCAGAAGACATGGCCACGGGCCCTGCAGAAGACATGGCCACGGGCCCTGCAGAAGACATGGACAATGATGCCGGAGTACCAAGTGAAAACTGACCAGAATTCTCTTCACCTGACTTTGTAGGATGCCAAAGAAATTGTTCAGAGGCTCCCTGAGAACTAAAATAGTTGCTTGCATTTGGCTGGGAACCCATATTCACAAGTTGACCAGAGTTAGATGGTGGCAAAGAAGGTTCATTACGGTGGTCACTAAGTTTGCTGAGATCCGAATCTATTGGTACCTCTGGCCAGTTGAGAGATGGTGGATTTGGATTAGCCTGTCCAAATTGCTGGTCAGAAGGCAGTGACATCTGACCAGTTGATGGTGAAGAAAGTGAAGAAGGTGCACCCATGCTAGGTGTGGAGACGGACATAGGTGACAGATAATCATTGAAGACCTGATATCCTGACTGAGAATAAGGTTGTGCAGATGAGGTAGCTACTTCCAAATACTGAGGTACATTAGTGGGAGGCAAAGGAGCATTCTGAGAAGAATTTGGGTTTCCTTCTTGTGATAACTGCTGTGGTGGTAGCATCTGTTGTTGTGACTGTTGCTGCATTTGTGGCTGCTGTTGGGAGTGCACGGTCGACCAATCTTGACCCGTGGAGGTATTCTGAGGCAAGTTCTGATTCTGATCAAAGTAGTGTATGGAAGGTCCCTGCATATTCTGCTTGTCGAATCTACTGCCAAAACTGGTATCTCCATCTGTGCTTTGGTTGGAAGAATTAGCACCAAACCAAGAACTTGAATGTTCTCCCCAAGAGGGATCCCAGCCCCATGACCCATTCATAGTTGCATTTGTCTGAGACTGGTTAAACTGACCACTGGATTCTTTGTCAGGTGGAACTTGGTTGGTCGGCTGACCAGTGCTAGGATTATAAGATTGGAATACAGTTGTAGCTGGAGTCGGCTGCTGGCCAGTATCACAGGTCTTCCCTGGCTGTTCTGTGATCGTTAAGCCACCAACTGGGAATGGATGGATCCCAGGGACAGTATTATTCTGAAAATCAGCAGGATTATATAGTTTTATAGTTCCAATGCTGCCTGAAGGTGTACCAAAGTTGTCTGCATTCCATGGAGCTGCAGGCTGAGACATCCTGGAGACAGAAGGAGAAAAAAAAAAAAAAAAAAGAGTGAATATCATTTAAATTGAAACAAACTAGTTCATAACTAATGAAATAAATTTTTATGTGAAACTTAAGTTCCACACAAACAAAAATGCTTGTCATATTAAAATAGAAAAAATACAGAATAGAACTTGAAATTAATTTTAGAAATTTTCAACAACTTTAGATCTTACTGAATTAAATACTCAAGATTTTTATTAATTACTGTATATACTCATGTATCATACACCTTTTTAAGACCTAATTTTGAAGCTAATTTTAAGAGGGTCGCATCATACACGATCTAAAATTAGCATTGCCCTGGCTATGCCATTGACCAAATTATACATCCATTTACTGTAGTCAAAAAATACAGCTGTATTTAAAATAAACAAGATTTTGATAAAACATGTTTTACTATAACTCTATCCAATAATAATGCATGTAATATTCACATATTAGTATCGTATTATAAAATACAAACTTAGCGAATATGCATCTTTTCTATTGTTTACATTTGTAAAAATGTTTCAGTGTTTCTCGTTCCATTGTTTATGGCTGTACGTATGTACACAACGAGTATAGAGTTACTAATGATACTTTTAGAATTCTCTTACTTTTTTAACCAGAAGATGGGATAAAAAGATAGAGGAAAAGAAGATCGTCTATTGTAATTTGGTCTCTCAAAAAAGGAAATCACATGATACACAAGATACATGATAAAATCATTTTTTATAAGTGAAAATTCAGGGATCACATGCTACACGAGTATATACAGTAATCATAATTGTTTTCGGGTAAGGGTAATAACATACAAAGACAACCAAGACCTATTCATTTACATCTTGTCCTCTCATCTATCCCCCCTTATATACTTTAATTTCAGTTAAGGTTAATAAAATAAGCATGAATTAATTTTTAATTTCAGTTTTTAAGCTCAATTTGAATACTCTCATAAGTCCGACAGACCCAACAAAGTAAACCTAGCAAAATGTTCTAGAAAATTACCTCTAATCAGTGGTTAATTATGACAAGGAATGGCTTGCAGATTTTAACACCTCCAAAACAAAAATGATTTTATTTAATCACCAGAGAGCCTTTTCTGCCTTCCATCAGCAAGGATAGCAACAATCTACATCTTCTTAGCCTCATGTTTTCCACCGACATGAAGTGGAGCAACTATATTAAATCAATTCCTATGTCTACTGCAAGGAAAGTTGGTCTGGTGCTTCTGCTGATTCTTGACAAAATCCAAAGAAGAGTCAGTAATGTAATCAATCCTGACCAGACATCTCAACTTCATTCACTTTCTATTCCCTTCTGTCTTTTCTACAAATATTTTCATGGCAACTTCTCTGATGAGCTTTTTTTTTTTTTATCCTAGTGCCCCAACTACATGAAATTAAGTGTGCTACTAGATTGGCAACTAGGTCACACCATTTAACTAGATACAACCGTCACATCTACTCTAACAGTTTCTTTTCTCGCACTTTCAGCCTGTGGAACTACCTTCCAATTTCTTGCTTCCCTGATAACTACAATCTTCAAAAATTCAAGAGCAGCATCAGTCGTGATTCTGTTTACTTGAATCCTTTTGGCCCTTTCCTCAATCTTCCCTATTCTCAGTTTTCTCATTCACTTTCACTCCTTGTAACCCCCTGCATTGTAGTGGCATTATCACCTTGCTTGGGGTGAAATGATAAAAAAAAAAAAAAAAAAAAAAAAAAAAAAAAAAAAAAATGATAGGTCAAATTAAATGAATATGATCTTTAACCTTTTACTACTGTAAACATACTAAACTTTCAGTGTTAGGTACCAACTGATAAAAAAATTACTGGAAAATATATCCTTCTCATATAAATTATAACATACAAACAAAAATTAAATGAGGGGAGATTAACACTTCATTAATAGAAGTTTCCCCACACAACCCAAAAATAGAGCCTTTGTATGAAAGGTTTCATAAGCCCAAATGACAAAACTAAAATAAAATAAAAATAACCATTATTAACTTACATGAGGAGAAAAAAAAAAAAAAAAAAAAAAAAAAGAATTTCTATACCCTAAAAATAACCTGATGACAGTGCTGCAATAATTGCAGAAAAGTATGACATTCATTTTCAAAGGATACATAGATAAAGGGGCTTATTTTCCGTGAAAACGGAATAGCCTACTTGAAACAGAGATCACAATTTTGAAATAGAAATTCTTTTTAACAATCAGATTTGCCAACTGCCATTTTAATTTGTTACTATATTTGCCTTTCCTAATTCTTTCATCCGAGAGACATCAAAGGATAAAGGTAATGTTTTAATTCACACCCCCCACAACCTAATACCTCACTACAGTTTTACAGTATTTAGGAACAAAGTTTTATGAAGTTAGCTTGATTTAATAAAAAAAAAAAGTTGGTGGTAGAGGGACAAAACATTTCATTATATGTCTATATTTCTAAGATGAGGTATTATGTACACTATTTACATTATTCAGACTATTGTCCTCATCTTTGTCGCCATGTTTATCACAACGGTTTGGTCGTTGTACGCTCCAGCATTCTTCAGAGGGGAATTAACAGGAGAAAACTGACATCCATTGGACATACCACTCCAGTAAACACCTGACTCCCCCTGATATTCTTTATCTTTCCAAGAGCCAGATCAGGCTGAAAATAGGATAATACTGCCCAGTCTTCATTTTCCCGTCTCAATAGAGTTAAAATCTCTTTCCCATAGACATAACATTGCAAGTCTCTCTCACTGCTCTTTTTTTATACTAAAAGTTCATCTAATACAAGGCTTACAAGCCACTCATGGTAGACGGTCAATGAATGAGATGTGGTATGATATGAACATAAGAGGAGGTAGAAAAAAATAAGTGAAGATTATGAGGATAAGTAGGATAGATAGCAATTCATTAACTAAAAGAGAATTAAGACAAGCATTCAAGGAAGTATCCCCATAAGAGCCAGATCACAAAGCACTTCTTGATGAGTAAAACTGTTTGATTGGAACTTCCTCCTTACAAAGGGAATCCAGAGGAAATGTGGGTGATTCAACTCCACAGGCATAGCAAGGCATGTCCTAGCTGTAAAGGCCTGACATTGTAAAATGAAAGATTGGAGCTCATCTGAATATTTGCCATGAAAATAGCAACAGAGTAGCAATAGGCTTGCAATAGTTCATTGGTTGGTGAGTTGATTTTGTCTAGTGGCATATCAGCCACTATGAGTTATTTAATGCCAAAACCTAAATATTTTGAACACAGTTTTATGGTTTCAACTACAGATAAAATGTATTGCTGGTCATTTTGCTATAAAATGTATTGTTGGCAATTCAGCTTTAAAAGTGTATTGTTGGTAATTTTACTATAAATATTTATGGTTAGTAATTTTTCTGATATGAAAATGTATTGCTGGTATTTTTATACTTTCATAGTGTTTTGTTTTTGTTTGGGGATTCATTATTTGCCCATAGCTTGGACCCTAACAGGTGCTACCACCCTGTCTGTGCAGAAAGAGGCTGTAGAGTGGAAATTAATTCATCTCCTACAAAACAAACAATTTTCAACAATATCAAGGCTGGAAAGTGAAGATTGGGCAGCTCCAGCTCAGATACGGCAACAATACTCCAAATATATGAGAACAATCATAAAACAATAGACAGCTAAAATAATAATTTCAAGACAGCAAATAACTTCCAAAATTAACATCTCATCTATTACTCATTTTAAGGTTTTAACCAAAAACTGTTCTCACAGAAATTCAACCCTAGCAAGGCTAACTATATTATCTTGTATTTAAAGGAAAAAAAAAAAAAATAAAGAAATTTAACCATGTATTTCTGGCATAGGCACTGAAACCTGTTCATAATGAAACAAGAATCTCTACCATGGATCAACTTGAGAAGCTAAGTAATTAGATACTCACAAATATGATAACAGTGTGTGTGTATGTATATATATATATATATGATAATTATTTTCTTTTTTAAAAATGATTCCATTGTGACAGAAATTTGTTTCAAAACTAAATTTAATTATAAAAATTAAACTTTTATCAAGCACTGGTTTTTTTTTTTAAATAAAAATAATTTCTAACACCTGATGATAAATCTTACTGTTCTTTTTCTTATTTTAATATATATATATATATATATATATATATATATATATATATATATATATATATATATATATATACTATAAACATTCACACTAAAGACAAAGAGGTGAAAATTTCTAGATCCAATTCACTTCCCAAACCATGACCAAATGACCCAACATGAGAATTTTGGCAGAAGTGAGAACACAGATACAACGGCTGATTTACATACATTATCAAATCATTTCACCTCATAAAAATGCTGACATTGAGGAAACAAGGTAAAGGTTTTCAGCTTTGGACCGTGAGACTACATTGGTCAATGACACAAAAGAACAAAGATTTTAAGTTACTGAATCCCATTAAAAGCCACAAATAAAGACACCACAGGCTCTTTTTTCTCATAATCCATCCTCCTCTAGGATAGAGAGAGAGAGACCAGAGTTTATGAATAACATTATCAGGGACACATCTCTCTTTCAAATGTTATCATCATAGTGAAATCTAAGCAAAATGAACATTTAAAACTCAGATCATTATATATTGTTTGTAACCACCATACAGTCTGTAACTAGTATTCTTTTATTTTGCCCAGATGAAAACTAGAGGAACAAGACTCTCAATAAAGTGCAGACATTTATTTTAAATAATATAAACAATCTTGAAAGTTTCTATAATGCTCAGGAAATAAATTACAAGTTTATGCTTAGGCCAATAATTTTAAAAACTGAAGCATCTTCACCAAATGGCCTCTAGTATTTATTTTAAAATTCTCAATTTTTGCTGGGTTTTTAAATATATGTTAACAATACAAAAAAATTACCAAATACTATGCAATAATCAGTTTCCTTTTTTCTTTTAAAATTTTACAAAATATCTAAAATTTAAAACC